GTGTGTGTGTGTGTGTGTGTGTGTGTGTGTGTGTGTGTGTGTGTCAATGTGTTTGTGTGTGTGTGTGTGTGTGTGTATTCTCCCTGTTTCATATGGGTTTCCTGCAGGTGGTCCAGTTTCCTCCCCCAGTTCAAAGACATGAAGATAGGTGCCATTTGGACATGACCGGCGTGTGACGGGTTGAAAGCCCACCCAGGGCTCCTGACTTATGCCTGACTGAAGCGGTTGGAAGATGCACAGCATTTTGGATATTTTTTTTAGAACAACCTGAATTTCTATTGTGTTAGTTCTATAGGAAATTGGTGTTATACAGGTTTTAAAATGAAGTAAGATATACCTTCTGATGACCCAACGGCTGGTGCCGTACAACCTTGGGACCAGGGGTCAGAAGCATTTTGAATGTGGGGGGGGGGCACACTGGCATAAAACTAATGTTTTATGTTAAATGTGGGGGGGTCCAAATGAATAATTATGAAACGTGTGGGGGACACGTCCCCCTCAGATTTAATGGTGGCGACACCCTGCTTGGGACTGCATTTTTAAATCCAGGTTTAATCCTGGTTCTGCTGACAGAACACTACACTGCGGGGCAGGCGGCTTCCAGGCTCGAAGTTTGTAATACAGCAGGACACAAGAACAAGGTGAAGCAGGAGACACTGGGAACAACCAAAAAGCAGCCAGATAGAGGGTGAAAGCAACTTTCTAATGCCAGAGATGACCATCAATTTATCAGGCAGGGCCTCATAAATCGGAGGATGACCTCAAGTGACCTTCAGAAAGAATAGGAAACATTAAGTGGTGTGAAGTGCACTGCTAGGACAATTCATAACAGGCTCCTAGAAGCAGGTCTGAAGACCCATAAAGAAGCCCTTCATCAATGAGAAGCAGAGAAGACCCAGGTTGTAGTTACCAAAATAATGTGTATTTTACACAGACACACACCCATAAATTAAGAAACGAGTGAAACTGAAAATTTTGCTGTGGTCTCATTTTTTTTTTCAGAGCTGTATGTCTGTATCGGGAATTCTTAGCCTTGGGCTAACAGTTGGAGCTCCTAACAGACTTTGGAGGCTGAATTCTGCATCTCACTCTGTGCCCATTTTAAGTGCTTTTCACTAAGATGAGCAGCAAGTGTGAAAGGGAATGAGGTAAACAGTGCAGGAGCCTGCTGAGCCACATGGGCGTTTTGCACATAATGTGCTCTTCTTGGGTTGTCTACATTTATCCATTTAATTGGCATGTTTAAATTCGCATTTAACTGGCAGTATGCTTGTTAGGTAGTACTATTCCTAACACCTGCAGGGTTGGAGGGTTGAATCTGGCCTCTGCATTGCGTGCATGGAGGTTGCATGTTCTACCCGTGTTTTTTGGGTTTGCTCTGGTTTCTGTGCATAGTCTAAATCAGTGTGTCCCAAACTAATCCCCGGGGACCACCACACAGTCCATGTTTTTGCTCCCTGCCAGACAGTCCATGTTTTTGCTCCCTGTCAGACAGTCTATGCTTTTGCTCCCTGCCAGACAGTCCATGTTTTTGCTCCCTGTCAGACAGTCTATGCTTTTGCTCCCTGCCAGACAGTCCATGTTTTTGCTCCCTGTCAGACAGTCCATGTTTTTGTTCCCTCCCAGCTCCCAAAAATGTTACTGTCTGGGGTCCTCAAGGATTGGGTTGGGAAACACTAGTGTATATGACATGGTCAGGTTGACCTGTCTCTAATTTGCCCATAATGTATGGCTGTGTGTAGGTGCCCTGCAATGGACTGGCATCCTGTTGACCTTGACTGGAATAAGCAGTAAGACGGTGGTCGAAAATTCACATTTACTTAAAAAAAAATAAAACCTTTCCGAACTGCCCTGCTCCTAGCCAGTTGGGTTTTTGAGAAATTCTTGTCTTAGCCAGCAGGGGGCAGCAGTGCTACTGACACCCAGCATCCCAAATATTCACCAGTTCATAGGTTAGAAGTTTTTTCTAGAAAATCAGTTATAAAAAACTTCTGCCAGGCTGTCGACCACTGCAATGTGATGCAGTTCACAGTGTCTTTGGCTACAAAAGTTGACCTTATGCATTTATGAAGCATCTGTTTCGGAACATGACTTTTATTCAAAGTTTGGCATTTTGCAGTTTTCTCAGTCCCAGAACTGTCAGCACAGCCCATTCCACAGATTTGGCAGGAAGTGACTTCTACTGCTGACTTACACTCTGTGCATCCTACCTAGCCGTTTTCTATCTTTGGGTTTATTTTCACTGTGTCTGCTTCCTCTGTTTCCTACCCCTCCACAGTATCTTATTCACAGATGTTTCTGAGGATTTTTTGTCACTACTTCTGTTCTGGTTATAAAACCACATATTTGACTCCATTGTCTTGTTTTTAACCCTAAGCTGTTGTATATAGTCACATAAAATTCCTCTCCTCCTTTTGGGCTAGGAAACCATTTTTTTTTCATGATTATTGTTTGTGTTTCTCTCCTTGTATTTCACTAAATTCTGTGATATTCTCAGCATCTCTTCCTCATCTCTTCCTGTAATTCGCTTCAGCTGCTGCACTGCAGGAACTGTTTATACGTAACCTTATCTGCAAGTCCATCAGCCTCCCACCGGAATTTTAATGCGACGAACATATGCAGCTTTGTCACCGTGACACTGAGATAGTGACCCGCTATGATGAACAAGCCCCCTGTAGGTCGCACAGCAATTTTAAGGGACTGGAGATCTTTGCAACCACAGGCCACTGTTTAGCTGCGACTTAAAGTTGTTATAATATCGATGAGTGTACTTCCCTTTTCTCTGAGGAATGAGGTGAAGTGCACTTCCCTGTGTACGTGATGGACATGTCTTCCATAGCAATTTCAATGACTCATATGGCTTAGGGTACAACATGCAGGATGGCACGTGCCCAGAACCGATACATCTAGGGAGTCATTAAACTCTTGTTGCTGAAGTGGGTATTTCAAAGTAGAAGGAAATACCTCCTCTTAGAATAATTCTGGTGTGGCCTTGACTCCCTTCACACAGTCTCTATGGGTCTGCAGCATTGTTAATGCGCCCGGGACCGACGGCCCCTTCAGCACGCCGACCTGGGGAATGTGCCTCGTCGCACATTCTCCCCATTTGTGTTTCACAAAAGAAAAGTCTCAAAACCAAAAGGGTGAATGCTTTCAGAAGGTTTCCCATTGAACCTACAACAGAGAAGCATTTCAGTAATATGGGGCCATCATCTGAAAAGAAATTCTCTGTTTAAATGCATGTAAATTAATCTTTTTGTATAAAGTTTAAGGCCCTGGATGAGTGATTGGCTGGACAACACAGTTCCACACATTTAACAAAATGAAACATTTCATGCATAGTAGTACAATGTATAAGAACAAGATTAATGTACTCACAACATTTTTAAACAAAAATAAAAAATTAGTATGATAATATAGAATAATAAAAAAATCAATCACTATCAGCATATTCAGGAGAATGTTCAACGAGGGGGACTAACACCTATTTCTGAGAGATGATTTGCTTCTGGTAAACGGTAAACTGCAGGCTCCTGTTCCTTTGGGAGTCGGAGTGTCAGGCAAAGCTCTGTTTCCCAGGTTTCAGTATCGCAGATGGTAATTAAATCCCACTGTTACGGCTCCCAAGTTTACACTGCTGACTCATTTCGGTTTTACCTTTTTGTTTTTCTGAGAATGTGTAATTTCTTTTGTTTGCATGGGAATATTATACAGGGTACAGGAGAAGCAGGTCTAAAAATCTACATACACCAGTAGCTGCCCTCAGGTCAGGTCAGTCAGCCCTTAGTGCATCTATTAATATGTATAACAATGCAGACAGTTCCCTCCTACATGGGTTTCTTTTGCTACCAGAGCCATTGTGAAGTGGACCTTGTTTATGGAGGTCTTGAGGCTTTTGATGAGTATCATTGTATTTTGTCAGCATAGGGGGTTGAGGCCCCCTGAAAAATAATTATTTTAAAACAGTGTTTCTCTCCCTGGTCTTTGGAGACCCCAGACGGTCCATGTCTTTTTAAATGAAGTGAGTTGGAAGGCAGTTGCAGACCCTTCAGCGTGGTCATCCTCCAGTATTCAGTACCAGTCAAATGTTTGGACACACCTACCCATAGAAAGGTTTATTTGTACTATTATCTACAATTTTACAATAGTTATCAAGTGTTACGCCCAGCTCGTCTGATCCTCGTGTGTGCCACGCCCACCTTGTTACCTCGTGTTAACTCCCGATTGTCATCACCTGTTTCCTGTTCCTCTTGGCTTGTCCTGTGTATTTAGTCCGCGTCTGAGTTAGTCTTCCCAGATCTGTCATTGTAATGTTAGTGGATGTCATGCTTGATGTTCGTCACCTGTCTGCCCGAATAAACCCCTTATTCCGGTATACACAGCTCTCTCGCCTGCTTCCTTGTTCGCCCGCCCGCTGAACGCAACATAAAGACATCAAAACTACAAAATTGCATATATGGAACAAAACCAAACAAAAAATATTTGTTGGGGGGGTGGGAAGCTCTGCAGGTTGAAGCTCAGAAGATTGCCCGTTCAAATCCCTGGGTCAGCAGAGTGTTCCCACCACTGGGTCCATGAGCAAGGCCCTTAACCACAATCGCCCCAGGGACTGACTGACCCTAAGGTCTCCTCTACACCAGTTTCATGAGGTGGCCTCCTGTGATGGTCTTCCAGCTGACCTGAAGGAGTTTCAGAATTATCTGGATGTTTGCATTAAAATATGTTATTGGTTTGAGCCGTTCCACTGTTGATTTACTCCTATGGATCACCGTCGTGTTGTATAATGAATGTCATTTAAGTTTAGCTCATAAGAAGATGTTGACATTCTTCTGTAGAATTTCTTGATACAACTTAGAATTCCGTCCAGGCCTGAGGCAGCTAAGCAGCCATTACACTCTCATAACTACACTACACAGATAGGGTGAGTGCCTGTCGACCCATTCAGCAACACTGGTGAGGTTTGCCTCGGGCTTTAAATGGGATCCAACCAGCATGAGGTGCTGGTATGCAGTGTTTCGTTTTCTCCAAATATAGAGCTGGGTATGTTTACCACAAAGTTATGCTTTTTCCTTATCTATCCTGAGACCATTCTTCCAGTAATCCTGTAGATCATCAAGGGTTTTTTTTTTTTTTGAGCACAGTGGTTTCCTCCTTGGTAACCTCATTTATTCAGTGTTTTTCTGATGGTTAGATGGTTAGAGTTGCCTGCAAGTCCTCGACTGTCACCTATTTGAAGATTCTGCTGCATGTCTTAGTGCCAGTCTTCACAGGATGCTCCCTCAAAGGCATGTCCAGGCAGAGTGAAGAAGCTGCTGAATTCCTTCCAGCTACCCACATGACCATGAACTGATGGAAGCCCCATATTTCCAGAAAAAAAGCCTCATAACACTTTCTAGTCTTAGTTTCAGAAGTTATTCATGCACTTGAACAGAAGGGGTCATTTTTTTCTCAAGGTTCGCATACTTTTTTTCCACCGGTAATCTTGAAAGTTCAAACTACTTGTTCAGCAAATATATGTTGATGTGAAATGTGTATGTTGTTTATAAATTAAGACTGACTAAATAAGATAAAGATCTGATCTCATTTTTGTGAAGAAATCAAGGTTCCCAAACCTGTTCTCACTGATGTAATGAAGTAAGGAAGGAACTGCATATCCTATTTATTCAGGGGCTTGACTTGTGCTGTGAAGACAACTTTATTAAAATTTCCATGCTTGCAGCTATTTTAAACCATTTTCGTTTGGAAAGACAAAAGTATTGTGCTTGCTTGCCTCAACTCCCTGTTAACTGGCTGACGCAGATCCGGTGAGAATAGACAAGCTACATCTCAGGCTGATTGTGTGGGACGGTTACCTGGGAAACCATTGGCGCATAACAAAGGGCTGAAGCGTCTTCATGCACCCAGAGGCACGGCCACAGTTTATTGTGACTGTCTGAGCTCTCAGGAAGTCGCCGTGTTTCCTCTTTTCCTCACGTACAAGACCTACATCGGGCATCCGCAGTTGACACTGGAAGCGAACCGTAGATTCGTTTAAGCAGTGGCTGTAGGGCCTGAAATCTCCATTGCATTTTGAGACTGATCATATGAAAAAAATTGCAGCATCTAACGTCTGACTAGATTAACTTCACAAATCTGCCGTATTACTTTTCATACTCAGCCACAACTGACATGTAAGAAGCTGAACACACATCATAAGAGAAAATTAACTGTCATGCTTTACTCTTTATTCCATACATCCATTCATCTTCCATTGCTGATCGCGGCCATGAGAGGAGGCTGGGGCCCATCACAGGCGGAATAGGACTCAGAGCTGTGATACACTCTGGATGGGGGCCAGTCTATCGCAGGGCACACACCCAAAAAACACTGGGCAATTTACAGATATCCATTTACCTAACTGCAGGTCTTTGGACTGTTCTCCACACAGGGAGAGCATGCAAAGCCCATGCACACAGCAGAGGAGGGATCCAAACCCTGCCCTGGCGGTGGGAGATCATCTATACACCTTTTTAATAAAATTATTTCTTGTGTGATTTGTGTATGCAGCCCTCTAACTCATTCATCTCTTTCAGAAAGGAAATAGTAAATTTCTTCTAAATTGACCCTTTGAACATAAGCTATAGCTAATTAATGCTTTCTCAAAGTCCTCACTATTTTATCTGCAACTCCAATAACCAAGATCAATTACGGGGCACACCTAGGAAGGGCTAACACGTTTGACCTCTGTATTTTCAAAATCCTGGCTACAGCTCTGCCAACAGTATTGATTATCCCTTGTGTAACAGTCCCAGGGGACATTTTTAGTCATTATTTATAAGACAGATGACAGAACAGAAGCCGTTTTTCAAATATATAATATATATTTATTATATTTATTTCTTTTAAAAATTTAATTTCACCTTTAAACTGAACACCACATAACACAGAACTTCAGCAGCAAAAAGCAGTATAATATAATAGCAATATAATTAATATCCAATATGTACCACAAGCGAGCAGATTATCAATAGAAATATATCCTTTTTAACTAAGTACTGCTGTTTGTTGTTGCTGTAGATATTTCTTCAACCAGATTAACTCCGTTCTGATTTTCTGGGCCAGTTTGAGGGAAATTTTAACCACAGCGCATAGAGGCTGGCTATTCCGAAGAGTTTACGTTGATCTGATTCTGGTACCAAAAATAACTACTGCCGGGAAGTAGCTCATTCTTGTGTGTATGCTAATTTTAGCTGTGAAGTCAGTACTTTTTTCTACACATAATATTAATATTCCTAATGAAATAAGTGCACATAGAATACGTGTAAGGCGTCAAGATCCAGCTTGATCTTATCTCGACATGACAGGTTGAGGGAAGAGTTTGTCTGGTCAACGATGATCAAAGATAATTTAAACACAGCACCATGTTCCAGGTCACGCTTTGTTGTCAGTTTCATTGTGTAGCCATAAAAACATTGTGCAGCAGTGTACCAGACCTCTCTATGCGTATTTTCATTTAATTTAATATTTTAATGAAATCTAGCTAGCATCATTAGTCATCTTCCTAGAATATGAATCTTCCTTTTCTTGAATACAGCACTACGTTTTGTTTATATAAAGCTCCATTTGGGCATGCCTTCGTGGGGACAGTGTGCTGCGGGCATCCCTGGTGCAGCAGACGCATGCGCTGTCCTCACTGCGCAGGTGGGTTACACGAACATCCTGCTCGGTCCATGAGCTGCTGGTTTGCCGCTGCAGCTGAAATAGACGCTATGGTTCAACAGCGAAAAGCATTTCGAATGTCTTTTACGCTCACGGCTTAGAATAAGCCAAGTTTATATGTGATCTGTTTAGATAAGAGAGAATCGCACTGCCGGCAGTGTCCCAGTTAGTCCGTGGTGTGCTCTGAGGTGCTGGAGAGGGACGGACGCAGGTCCGCTTCAGCAAGGCGACTCCACGTAGTCGTTGTCGAGGCGGGGGCGGAAGGGTGCCGCCAGCGAGCGGCTGATGACGATGACGCCCGGCGTGAGGCAGTCGTCACGCCGATTGAGGATGTTCCAGATGAGCATGGCGGCGGCTAGCGTGGCCAGCAAGCAGGCTGCGATGTTCACGTAGCAGGAGTAGGAGAGCTGGGTGTACGGCCCGATGCGGTAGAACGTCACTAGCCCAATGACCAGAGAGAAACCTGAAAGGGAAGGGGAAGAGACTGAATTCCTCTCTGGGACTCGCCTTACAAGTTCGCGCACTTTTTGTGGCAGCTGCAGATTATTTTCAGGGGAGCGATGCGGGATGTGGAGGCTGTCGCTGACTGTTTTCCAAATGCACAAAAAAACACACACCATATTTACTTAAAACACACTCTAACGGTTATGATTCATGGATATTCATGCAGTTCTCGGAACTACTAAAATTACGCAAGTTTGAGAAAACTTCAGCGTCATTCAGCGCCACTGGAAAAGTGAAGGATGTTCCGGTTACAGCGGGCATCCAGCGCCGCTCATCTCTCCCCGCTGTTACGCTCCCAGCTTTCTTGGGGAGGTGGGGCTTAGTATTTTTGCCATTTCCAGTAATAAATGCTGAACCAGGGCCTAAGGAAAACAACTTCTTAAGCTTTGTTTTTTTTCTCCCATTAAAGGCCTATGGAAAAAATGGAGGACAGGGGTCATGTGCTTTAAAGCTCTGGAGGCAGTGAAAAATTCTTTCTTTGCTGTGTAATTCTAAGGAGACAGATGCGCATGGCCTTTGAGGGTTAATTTAAACAGGCTGTGTTCGCCTTGACTGCAGGAGATCGGGGTGGTTAGGAATGGAAACGGAGCGTAGCTCTGACTTATAAATAATAAAAGTGTTTTAAATGGCATATGTGAAAAGATTGTTTAAAATTAGCTTGAAGAATTATGTTCCCCTGAATTGGATAATGAACCAATCGCAAAATAAAAGCTTTCAGCAGTACAGCGTTCGCACTAAGAGCTCAACTGTGACGTTAACTGAAGAGACGGCATGTTTTTCGAGATACGGTATCTCTTCTGAAAACGCAATTCTGCTTTAAACTGTAATAAAAAAAATGAATTAACTGAATTGTTATCGTTTTTAAGGCAGTGAGATAATACTGCAAATCCACCACTGACAGACAGTGAGTCACTGGCAGAGTGTAGAGCAGTTATTATGGGAGGCAGTCAGCCGTCCTTTTAGGTGAAAACTCATTGGTTTATTGCTTTTTGGGCCCTGTTATCCTGCCTTGTACCCCTTGCTGTGTATGATAGCCCCCAGCCCCCCGCAACCCTGTACTGATCATAAAACTTTATTGAGAAGGTGGTAAAACACCTGGCATTCTAAATATACCGTCAATCGACAGCAATGTAAGAATTCAGCCAACATTTCGAGATAATTGGAATTATGCAACAGTTAGTTCTGACCAAGAAATCTGATTGGACAAGAAGCGTTCTGTCAGTATGGTCATCAGAGTTTCGCCGCACTCGGACATTTCACATCAGCTGTTGGATATTTACAGGTGTATCTAAAAACTGTCACATATGCCTCATTTCCACCAACACGGAGCCGGTAATTTACCAAAAATCTTCTAGTCTGCACCTTAAAAAAAATCTTTCAACCTTGCCAGCTAAAATGAAGCAGCTCCCAGCAGCTATGAGATGAAGTTCCTGCAGTCACAAAGTTACCCAGCCAGTAATTTCACAATAACAGCTCACAGTCCACAGCACATAGGAGAATATAACAATATGATAAATAGTAGAACCAAAAATACAAACTGGACAATGCAGATATAAGTAGTTTAGGATATGAATCAGTTAGTTTCCTCAGGCTGGGTAGTGTCAGTGCTACACTGCTGTTATTTAAAGAGCCTGCTTGTTTACCTTGTCGGAGTCCTTTTCTAAGAAAAATGAAAAGCTCTTCCTATACCGCGGCCGCGGCCAATGGCTAGCACACTGTGTGAAACAGCCTCTGGCACCGAGAAATCTCCAGCTTCCTTCCCCTTCTAATCTCCTTCCGTACTTCCTTCCTTCCTTCCCTCACGCCCGGTTTAAGGTGAGTGGTGGCAGTGGACGTGGTCAGGAGGGCAGCCAGTGATGCATTGGTTCTTTTTTTGGGGGGGGGGGGGGGGGGGAAGGTACCTCAGACCTACAGGCTGAGGTCTCAGATTTTCGGGGTTAATTAACGAACACTAAATTTGCCTGAATGGCCAGACGCTTCTTTCTCCGCATTTGCAGGGAAGCGAGACTTTGTTTTATTTTTTTAAAATGGTCATTGTTAATTTGGAGAATGTTGTTCCCTGTTGAGGGCTGATGCACAATAGCCAAGGCCGCTGGTGGGCCCTGAGCCAGCCTTGCCAGCGGCGTTTCCTCTCTGAAGTGCGACGGAATGTCTGCGACAGCCATGGGGGTAAGGGCTGCTCTTTTGTAATAGCATAGAAAGGTCCCCCGTTTTCTGTGCCTTGTATGAAGTACGGACAGGCATTAGCAAAAAAACACCGTCAAGATCACAGAATGCGGGGAGCTTCATCAGTGTGCAATCAGCGTGTGATTGACAAGGTTCTGCCCCATTCTCGAAATAAAAGCAATTTGTGAATGGAACAGAGCGCCAGCACAGTGAATGTACCCAAATGTGGCCGGTTCATGTCCCACATGCCAGATGAGTGGCCTTTCAAACCTCAGATGTTACAGAGCCTCTGCATTTCAGGCTGAAATTAGACCTTTTGATTGGTCTTCCCTCTTAAGCTGAAATTAAAGTTGAATGACTTTCCATTCACGATAGGATGTGCTTACTTAGTCTGGAAAAATAACTACAATTCACTAGAAAAGTAATGAAAATATAAATAAAATAAATTCAGTCACTTCAGCTTAAATTCTGTGGGATATTGAAATATGGGCACATGAAGCGAAATTGTCCTCTGTGAACGTAGTCTGTCTGAGCGTGTGTCTAATTAATCACAGAATGGGTGTTTCCCATGATAAAGGCCCCAGCGAATGCGTGCAGCGGGAACATGTGTTTTATCTAGTGTCGCGGAGGGACGCCTTTTTTTCAGATACTGTTCCTGAACGTTCTGTAAACAGAGGCATAAAAGAAGCTGGTTATCTAGACAGCAGCCGTTCCCACCCCATGGTGATCTGTGAGCTGAGGGAACACTGTACCCCCCACCGCCACCAAACTCCCTACCATGCCCCCCCACCCCCGCCACCTCCCCAGCCCTATCCTCTCTGCTTTTGGTTTGCATAACAGGTAGTAACAGGCATTTCCTCGTCCTGAGCAGGGATATCCTGGCGCCCGACTGTCGCTCCAAATGCTTGGAGTAGCTCCGACCCACCAGCCTGCAATGGGGGCTAAAATTAGCCACTTGCGACGAGGGGGGGCTGAATCTCCGTGCACCCCCCCCCCCCAGACACAAGGCCCAGAGAGACGGCACGTCACACTTCCTCATCACGGACATGAGCGCTGGACGCCGCTGGATGCTGAGCTACAGAAGCGGCGCTGGGGGTCCGTTTGTTTGTATTCCGGGCCCACACCTCTCGCACAGGCCCTTTTTGAGCTTTCCAAGAACCTCCAGCATTGATCTCTGCGATAGGGATCAGCCGGTCCCACGAAACCCGCATCCGAGTCTGGGACTCTCTTTGTCTGAGTCTGCTTGGGTGTCGTTCCTCTGGCGTTCCGTGACGATCCCTCAATGTCTCGTCAAAGGATGTTAAGAGGCGCGAGGAAGCTGGGTTTCACCTGAGCTTGCCACGTGGCGTCCCTCAACCCCATAGCTCACGCAAAGACATATTTGGCTTCAGTAATGAAGCCCTCTCTTATCTGGGGGCCCTGGGCTGACATTGGCATGGATGTTCAGGTTTAAATAACTGCTGCATTTTTCCCAAAGCTAAGCAGAGCCCTGATGTTTGCTGGGGCCTCAGGCTATGACCTAGGATTTATCTGCCCCCTTTTGTGGTCAGTCGCCCATTCAATTTCTCCTAGTTTGAAATGATAGAGTAAATGCTTTGTCAATGGATAACAGCATTCTGCTTTGTTTTGAATATCTGAAGCAGTGTTTCCCAACCCCCCCAGCAGGTCCACGTTTTTACCACCCCCCTTCCCAGCTCCCTACCAGACAGTTCACATATGGAATATCTGCAGATCCCCCAGAACCGGGGTGGGAAACACTGATCTGAAGGAATGAACGAATAACTGCATCTAATTCTTTGAATTAGGGACATAATGAAAGGATGGCATATATGGGAGTTTCCCAAAGATACAGGGGCGTGTCTGTGGGCAGCATGTGGACCGAGCGACGGCTCCAGGTGCTCGTGGCGGTGACTTACTGGCCAGCTGGAATAGCGCGGCGATGGCCTCCTCCCACCACTGGGAGTCCTGGGTGATGAAGGGCAGCTCCACCAGGCCCAGAAGGAAGATGAGCTGACCGGCAGTGAGCGCCACTGTGGCCATCAGGTTGCAGGCCCGCATCATGTCGAACTGCACTGTAAGCAAAAGGCAGGCCGGCTGGTTGGTGCAGTGACACGACACTCCCAAGCGCGAACCCCAGGAGGCATTACTGCTTCTGATGTTTTCATTAGAAAAAAATTAAATGTTTACTGGAATGTAATTGTACGACACCTGAGATGGACCGTGCTCTCTGCGCTCGTCCAATGATGCGAAGCTGTGTTTATCGAATTTAATAAGCAAACAATTTCCCCCAGACTGTTTCTGCTGGAAAATCCATTCCTTGGCTCAAACCTCAGTCCCTCACATACACAGGATGTGAGTTCCATGCAACATAGAATGCTTGTATGAACGAACTGCGATACACCTTCTTCACATCACTATGAAAATAAAAGCATGCGGCTGTTTTACAGAAAACAAACCTATGTAGATATTAAGTAAACTGCATTTTCAGTTGGAGGAAATTGAGATTAGCTAGCTTTTGTCTGCTGAAATATTGTAACGAGAACCAATGGAGAGGATGGTACCATCAATACCTTTCAACTTGCAAGTGCCATGTTGGTATTACGGCCACATGTGACTCGGCTGAACCAATAGAACGACAGAATTAAGCAGTTTATGAAGAGCAGAGGTCAGCAGGTGAGTCATGGCTACCCAGCTAGCATGCATGCACGCTCCCAGCCCTTCACTCACGTTTGACGGTGGCCCGTGACTCCTTGTAGCCCGAGTACTCGGAGCCCCAGCCCAGCGTCTCACAGCTGCGATGCATAACCGGTCCGGAGCGGCCCAACCCTGCCGTGTCACGTCCCCGCTCGCCCACAGGGCACATCTTCCAGAGTCCCACGCTGCGCTTGCGCCCGTCCTCCAGCGCCTGGAGTACCCAGCTGGACGTGAAGGCTGCCAGGTTGTTGAGCACCAGGGACAGCAGGGCCACCGCCACTGCTGCCGCCACCAGCCGCTGCACGGCCATGCGCCGTCTCTCACGGGCGCCTCCCGGGAGCCCCTGCTGTCTCACCCTTACCGCCCCCTCCTCCTCCACCTCCGGCGGGACTTGCTGTCGCTCGGCACAGGCTGTGCCCACCACGTTGCGTGACAGAAGAACAGAGACAAGGTGCCGTGGATTTCAGCTAGAGAACATCCCCGTTCATTCTCTGGAGTCTCTTGCTGGTGCCCGTCAGTACCGGTGGCTCCTTTAGCCCTCCTCCTCGGACTTCGCTGCTAGAGGCGCCCTTGGGTTTGCACAGCGATCAGTCAGGTCCATTCCACTGGATCTCGCTGGCTGCTGCCGTGTCTGCCCAGCCGGCACTGCTCCTCTTCCTCTCTCTCCCTCTCTCACTCTGCCGGTGCCTCCGCTCTTGCCCGGGTTCTTCTCTGGGGGCTGTTTCAGCCAAACGGCAGAGGCGGAGACCCCTTTCTTCTTCCTTTTTTTTTGCCTCGGGGCTCTCAGCGGGTGGTGGAGGAGCGGATAAGGAGAAATCGGATCCCGGGATTATGCCGGGCGGACTCTGGCACGTCCAGGTCGCGGCATGTCTCTCTCGGAGCGACTTCCAGATGCTAAGGGGGCCGACGTCTGTGACGGCGCTGAGCTCCGGGCTGGGTGGGGGAGGGGGGCTCCTCTGTGTGTGCTCGGGGGGGGCGTATGTGCACACAGTGAAGAGGAGAGCGCAGGGGGTGGCAAATGTCCGCAGCCTCGGGGCGTGTACTTACTGTCGCTGCCTCCGCGCAACAAACATCTCTGCCCCCCAAAACCAACCAGCAACAGGATGCGTTTCCTGAGAGGAAAGGGACTGGGCGGGAGGCTGGGCTTGAAGCCCCCCCTCGTCACCTCCTTTCTCTCTGGCTTCAGTCCTTTATTCTTGTCTGGCCATACACCAGTGCACGGGAACTATAGTAGCACATCAGCCCCCTTCATTCAGGGAGACACAGGTTGTCAGTGCTTTGTGCTGTTTTTAAGGAATTTCCCTCTAGTCTAAGGGCCCCTAAAGATTCTGGGAATTTCCTGTTGCCCGGGCTTTGATAAACAGCCCACATCTGTATCTGGGAGTCGAGGCAGAGCAGGGGGTGGGAGCTGTGGGACGCAAATAGGGAACAGATGGGTGCAAAGTCTCTGCTCACAGTGAGGGGCTGTCAGACAACCCCAGTTTAGTGGAATCTGCTTTGGAAGAAGTTGAATTGATTTTTCTGCTGTTGCGCCACCTGCTGTCCCTTTAATGATTTACCATTGTCTTTGTTTTGCAGACTTAGGAGCTTTAAGTGACTGGAAGGAATTTATATCTTGTTTTGAAAGACAAGCATTTGGGCTGATTTCAAGAAGGAAATCTGGAACTGCCAGTAAACTGTCAGTTGCCAGTAAAATACTGTACAATTTACAATATTTAACAATAACTTACTCTAATTATATTGTATCTAAAATACAGTACACTACTGTAAACAAAAAGTTTTAGTAATTTACTGTAAAAATCTACAATAATTTTACAATGAAGTACAGTGATTTGTTTATATGTGAAAATTCATAACTGGGTGATTTTAATTTGAAATGACAACCCCATGACAATCCATTACAATTGATTTTCTTTATTATCAATTTCTCACAGTAGAAAACAACAGTAATGTCTTATTTAAAAACATATAACCTATTATAATAAAATAATGCATTCCAGCCCAGTCCTGCATTAATAATATACATTTTAAGAGGGAAGAAATCACATTTCATAATATAAAAAACACAACATGACTGGACAATGTATTGATTAGTGTATTTTGTGCAAAATACAAACATAATTCTCTAATAATTTACTTAGTTACACTTAAAAATAAATAACCAATAATAACCAAAATTCAGTCCAGTCTCACATTAATACCTTCACTTCAAATGTCCTTTCTAGAAGTGTGTGAAAAAATGTGCTATTTATTTATACTCAGCATAACATGAATAAAAATAGGCACAGATATAAATTATGGCTACATAAAAATAACAGCATTTTCCTCAACTTTAAGAAAAATACTGTCACAGAATATTACCTTCTGTCTCTAGAAATGACTCAGTACATCTGTGGAGTAAAAGGTTTTGGTTACATTCACAAGAAAAACATTTCACAACATTACGTTCTTTCAGACCTCGCTGTCTCGCTTTTGCTTTATATCTGCATGTTGGTCTGATTCTCTTTGCCCATGCACTGGACTCGAGTTATGCTCCCATAATGTGGTTTGTGTGATACGCTTTTCCCATTGTCCTTTCAAAAATATCACTGTTTTTAAACATTCAATACAATTCCAATGTAGTGTTCCATTATGCTGGTTTAGCAACTAACCTAGATGTCTTAATATAAAGTTCAGTCACATAATCATTATAGCTATTTATAGCTCTGGAGTGACGCCCCAACCACCACCCCGTCATAGCAGACCCTGGCCAGGACCCCGTCTCTCGGTCTCTCGCCAAGAGACTGGATACTTAAGTCAGGGTTGGGTCCCGCCCACCCTGCCCCTGGGCTCGCCTTCAGTCCCCCTTGCTTCTCCTGCTTGGCTGTCACCTGCGGTTCCCCTGACTCCTGCTCGACGGTTGCCTGCGGTTCCCCCTGTGGTGACTCGTCGGTCGTCTGCGGTCCCACCTCCGATGACTCGTTGGTTCTGTTCCCCATTTCTCTGGCCCCTTTCCTCCTTCCGTCAGTGTCTCCCCTGGTTTTGTGCCCCCTGGTGGATTTGTCCCTCCTGTTGGTCTGTCCACTGGTTGTGTTCCCCCTGTGTCTTATCCTTTGGTGTCCCCCGGTCCTGTGTTTCCATCTTTGGTGCCCTTGTGTGTGTCTGTGTTCCCTGTGGTTTGTCAGCTTTGTCGTAGTTGCTGTTTTTGTGCCTGTTCTGTGTGTCTGTGCTGTTCCTGTTGCCCCATTGATGTTTCTTGCTTTTGTTTCCCTAGGTGCTGTCCCGTTGTGCCCTGAATCCTGTCGAGTCCTCTGTGTTGCTCCTTCGGGCCCTTTGGGCGCGCCCAGAGTGCGCGCCTTTGGGGGGGGGGGTCTGTCATGCCCCGATGGTGCCGATCCTCTTGTGTGCCACAACCCCTCATCTACCCCGTGTGGAATCCCCGTGTTATCAACGGTTTCTAGTTGTCTCATTAGTCCAGTGGATTTAAGTGCTTTCTTGTTAGTCTTTCCCCAGTCCGGTCATTGACATCAGTTCTGCCTTGTGTTCCGTATCCCCGAGTGTGTATTTCACCCATAATAAACCCTGTGTTCACCCAATTCCCTGGACTTCCGGGCTTCCTTCCCCACTCCGTGCCTGCATGTACTGTGACAGTCCGTACGACAATTATGTACAGGTATTTCTCAGATGGCCCAGTTACCCCTTCCCTCCCATGTAAGCCCTATTCCTCTCACACCCTCAACCTGTAAATCTCTAGACACCCTATCACACACTACCCACTTCTCCAAAAAATCTCTACTAAAAGTTCAACTTTGTGTAATTTGTCTCAATATAATGGGGATCCCCAGATCTGCATCCATGGCTGTCCTCTCATGTAGCACAGGAACACAGCGCTGCTTCAAATTTGGTGCAATTTCTCACAAATCTGATCTTCTGGTGTTCACCAGAACTTCACCTATACAATGTGTCTGCAAAGTTTGATAGAGATCTGTGAAATACTTTTTGAGTTATTATGGAATACAATAACAAAGCCGTGTTAAGTCTTGACGGATTCATGTCATGTTATCATTTAAGCTGAGGGACGGAACACGGAACCATTTTATTGTCCTCGCTAATGTGAGTGCGCAATTTTTAGCTTGACAGATAGCTAACAGGCTCCTCCAATAAACATCCGGGAAGAAAATCTTGCAGTTTGAGATGATTACTAAAAGAGGCACTGTGAAACTGAACACATAATACAAATATTACAGCTCAAACAATACACAATAAATACTTTGCACTTACAAGCGGTTAAATTAGCTAGCGAGTAGTGGGATGCTAATGTAACATTGTAAATCCTATTGGCGCGCAAGCACGATTAGCACTTTGTTTATATTACCACTTCTTACCTCATGTGGAATCCTGGTGTTCTCAGCTGTTTCTAGTCATTGTTATATATATATATATATATATATATATATATATATA